ATAGCAGATTTCAGCGGGACAGGAAGAATGCCCTGAAACTGCAAGAAGGATTTAGTTAGGCGAGACATAATTACCAAAGTTGGACTATGTCCAGGACACTGGGGCAAACCCTCCTGCCTTTGCAAATTTGATTTTAACAACTTTAATTTTAAACACCTGATAGTCGTATTTCTTGCCAAGGGAACAGATTGCTGAAAGTAAGAGAAGCAGCATTATCCTAAGCAAAAAAATCTTAGAAAATGAGGGAGAAAAATAAAATCGTTTCCTCCTATATGGTTTGCGACACCTCAGTGGGAAACTATGAAATATCCGCGGCAGAAACACATTTTCTGGGCTGTAGTCAGCTTAGCTTATAGTACCACACAGCCCGATTCAATACTTGGTGCATGGAAGTGATGAATTTTAGAAAGTGGAGTAGCATGGAGGGGTCAGTGTAGGGAGGCCGGTCAGAGCACCGCAGAGACAAAACAAGAACCACCTTCCTAAAAAGAATAAAATTCAACTTCTTTTGCTGTTAATACATATTTATGCACCAGCATTTATTGGTGGCATTGCAAATATCCACATCTGACAGCCAAATGGTTCAACACACCAGCTTGCTTACGTGGAGCTCATGCTGTGCGTCTACAGCGTTGCAACAAAACAAGCAAAGCAAAATGAATACCTGAAAGAAAAAGTCTTGTATAACATAGACCCTCTGAATCGCAGGAGGAACGTTGTTGACCTTGGCTACCCCTGAGATTTGCCATGTGAGCAGAGCAAATAATTTCACATGGCGGTTTACAAGCTTTGGAATAAGCGAACCCTGATCCTGCTTCAGCGCAGGGGGATTCTAGGTTCCCTTCTAGCCAAACATTTCTGTGATCTTAAGGCCCACGCCGAAAGTCTGTTAACGAGGATCCAAAAGATAATGGTAAAATAATAAAGCATCTGCCATAGCAAGTTGATAGTTTCTCCAAGAAACCAATACCACCCGGCAGAAAGGTACTTCAGAGGAGTTGCTTTAAGTAGAAGAAAGCTGTACTTGCATCACCCTGAAAATAACTAGAAGCACGTGGAGAATCTCTTGACCTGGCTTTTTCACCCAACCATCTCTAGTTGCTGCTGGGAGGAATTTAATGAAACAATCCATACCTGAGAGATTATTTCAATGTTTGTACAAAACATAAAACAAGTCTTCTGGGCTTGCTCTGTCCCATTTTCAGCTCAGGTTGTGTAGCCCATGGGACACATTTATCTCAGATGGAAAAAAAAAAAAAAAAAGTATTGCTGTTTTCCCTAATGTATAGGCTGGTCACCGTGGTATCAGTGGAAGCCAGGTTGTGGCTGTTAAAAAAAAAAAAAAAAAAAAAAAAAAAGAGGGAAGGAGGAGGGCTCGGGCAGATGTTGTACCTACCCCTCAGCACACCAAGGTTTTGCAGGCTCCCTTCTGCTGTGTAATCCTCACACAGCTGCACAAGTGCTGCTACCCTGCTTTGAACGCCCAAAGTCTGAACACATCCCCCGGCTTCTCATTATGAGAAAGTGCCTCCCTGGGCCGTTTGATGGACAGCCACAGACTCCTGCAGCCTGTCAGACTCACAAGTCAGCACCTAAGTTCTCAACAGCTTTGTTACAGGATTGGGCTTGCTGTGTTCAACGCACTGTTTACGCCCAGGGAAGTCTCCGGATCAAAGCTTCGGCAAATTGCTGCTTCAGTCAGGTCTGCTGCCTCATTTAAAGAACGGGAATGTTTTAGACCCACCTACTATTTAAAAAAATATTATTATTACAGCTTTGCCACCTAATGACACATCCCCTTGTGCATACAGTGTTGAAAAAGAAAGTGCAATTCACAAGTTGAACAGAATAATGAAATATTGAGTGTTTCACTGTTTCTTCATCAGCATGGTAATGAAACACAGACACACTTTATCTACCCTCTTGATGATGAAGTTCAGACACTGGTCAGAGGTTTGCTGTTATTTTTGGCTGTCACACACAAAAAACTATAGCAGAAACCATTTTTCTTTATCTTTTAAAACCCGTGTATGTAGAAAGGAGGCAATGGTTTTACACAGCTAGCTGCTTGTGCATTCATCCTGTAAAGTTGCTACAAGGACTAGTGCAAAACATCTCAGCCTCAGTTCTCCTCTGGCATAAATCAAGGCAGTTCCACCACCACAGATCAGTGCAGCCGTAATACGGTGAGCACCAGGGGAGGATAAGTACAAGAATTTCTATTTGCAAACACTGGTGTGACAGCAGTATTTCCCTCACCCTTTCTTTTGTGCTACTGTGTATCCTCATCTCCTATATTGTGTCACTTCAGAAGCCAAAAAGCAAATGTATAAATGGCAAGCAGAAAGACATCACAGAAATACAGAATCATCTGGGTTGGAAAAGCCCTTGCAGCTCCTCCAGCCCAACCATGAACCTCACCCTGACCGTTCCCAACTCCCCCAGATCCCTCATCGCTGGCTCAGCCCGACTCTTCAACCCCTCCAGGGATCCCGGGGACTCCCCCCTGCCCTGGGCAGCCCATTCCAACGCCCAACAGCCCCTTCTGCACAGAAATCCTTCCTCAGAGCCAGCCTGACCCTGCCCTGGGCAGCTTGAGGCCATTCCCTCTTGGCCTGGCACTTGTTAAATCACCTTGTCTAATCAGCAGGACACTCTTTTCTACCCTAGCCCGGAACTCTGTCACCATCACGGCTGACTGAGGTGCTACAAACACGGACAGGCTGAATGTTCAACCATGGTCTGCACCTTTCAGAGTATTCTGAAATTCCACGCTAAGGTCAGTATCTGCACTGGTATCCAAAACCTGTATTATTGATAATTTAAGCAATTGTTTTATGACTTCATGTGACATTATAGTGTCCTGACTACAAAGCATTTAAGGAAGATACTTCCTTTTAAAGGTATACTTAAGCACTGAGCTGTTTTGGAATTAATATGAAAAAAAAAATCCTTTCTTCTTTCTTTGGGACAGCAGTACAATAACAGTTATTATATCTCCTAATAGAGAGAAGCATCCTTTTTCCCCTTGAAAGAAAAAAGACTCAGCTACTTCATGATAACCTGGTGCATGGTGATGTTAGGGCTTTATGCACAGCTCATGCCACCTGGGTCAGGAAGTATTTCTGCAAATAACCTTGCTACAAAGCAAAAAGGTTCACGGTGTCACTGGTCTGCTTTAAAGTCACAAACGCGTGGAGAAATAGTTGTGTAATTTTTCTTAATTAGAGAAAATCACCGCACTTTTAATAAAGTAAAATGGATTAGACTGTTGTAAACACAAATAAAGCTTAAAAATAAAACCAAATATACAAGAAGCCCAGTCCCACGCCTTTATGCTACATCTCGTTGGGCTGAAAAGCCTGTAGCAGACTGGCCTGGCCCACAAACACACTGAAGGTTCTGTGAGCGGCAGTTGCCAGGTTGGCCCTCGTGCTGCTTCATTTGGGTAAATCTCCCTTTGACATCAGCTGGAGCAAGGTTGGTTCCCAACTAAATCAAAAATTCAAGAGAGAAAAATCACAGCTCGTGCATCTTGTATGTAGCTGGAAACAGGCTCTGACCCTGCAATTCACAGAATATCTTTATCTCCGCGTACAGAAACAGACTGGAATCACTGTCTTGCGCCATTTGGGGGAAATCCAACTCTTATTTATGTCTAAACACTTGTAGTTCTTAATGGGAAAAAAAAAAAAAGAAACACGCTAAACCCTCTTGATGGTGGATGTAGCACAGGGTGTATGGCTTGCTAACACCGTGTCTGCATACACCTGACACACACACCCCAGCACGTTACATTTACTACCCAAGAAAAAAACCTTAGTTTGTTTAGATTCGAGACAAAAAGCAGCAATCCATCACCTCGTGTCATTCTAAAAACCTGACATTTACAGAGCTCTTTCCAAACGAGTTCATTAAGCATCTTAAGGCCATATGCAGCAGTATAATTTAGAGCGTGTATTTTATAGGTTTCTTTTTCTGGTTTACTCACTGATTATTATGTGCTGTAAAATTTCAATTATCCCAGCTAGGCAGGGGAATAAAAAAGGGAAATAAAAAGTAGGCGATGGAGAAGTATATGGCAACAAACGCCATAGAAAAGCAAAATTTGTTGCGCGTTTAACATTTCAGTGGTTTTAACGCCCCTTCTCTTCTTATAGAAAGATTAGTGATGTGAATAAAAAGCACAAAAGGGCAACAGAACCATCTCCCTCATTCTTACAATGTTCTTACAAGCAGCGGGCATGTTAAAACACCGTGGACAAATGCACCACGAATCTTATCTTTGTTTTCACCGTGCAAGCTCATAGACCTAAATGGAACAGCACAACCCAAATTAGAGGCTGGATTTGGCCCAGCTGTGAACAGGAATGACTTGAAAGATACAAGAATATATCTGCAAATTTCTTCCCCTAAGTTTAACAACCTAATTCTTGTGTGTGGGGCACAGACACAGGGCTGAAATCGCTGCGGATATAAGTGGAAAAGTTCCTAAATAATTTCAGCTTTCTCCGTTTACATCCCAGCTAACACCCAAGCGCTGTTACTTACGCCCTGAATAGTTTTGAGCACAAAATTCTGTACCTGAGAAAATATCACAGAAAAGGCTGGGATTTTTTTTTTAAGTGTCAGACCCGCAAAACTGAGATGGTGAAACTTAGGAAGCTGTCCCTGTGAAAACCAAAAAAAGAGGGTACCTTTAGACGTGACAGTATGGAAGGCCCCAACATGTCCAAGCACATTATTACACGTGTACCGTTGTTTTAACTGTTTACCACTTTCTCACGGACAGTGATTTTTAATGCACGTTAGCCCCAGCCAATTTCTGTAGTGTTCAAACTTGCTTACCAGCGGTTTTTAAGGCCAGTCATTTCTCATCGAAGTGACCCCAGCTGATTTGGCCTGACCCCGTCCTAATTAAAGTATATTCTATTTTCACTGCTGCTGTCAGGAATACACGTCTGTGGGATGCCCCTGAGTGTCTGCAGCCTGCGCTCCTGGTTTCTGAAGGTTGAGGAAGCTTGGCAGATGTTTCCAACTGCTCCAGTCCAGTCCTCTCCTGGCTTTCAAGAAGCTGCCTTCTTTGAAGCGTCTTGCGTATTCGTTTTGATTCGCTTCTTTGCCGAGTAGTAATCTGGAGGACAGCACATAATTAGGGCTATGACACTGATGGCACCTGCTTCCCAAGGAATCTCTCTTTTTCCGTGTTGAAGAAGTCACTTAGACTTCTGTATGGCTCGTGAACGAACAAAACAAATACCTTTAGCATGTTCCATGTAAAGCTGTGTAATACCAGCCAAAACAAAGGAAATGCGTTGGCTTTTATCCATTTGAGATCAAAAGACTTTGGACCCTCTTATGCAAGCTGAGCAATGAGACATTTCAATCCAACTTTTAGATCCACTACTGCAGTACTTTCCAGACAGAAATAGTGGTTTTTTTTTCCCTCCTTAAAAGTAACAAAAAATACTCAGTAAAACATCAACTATATATATGGGGCACTTTATTTCTGCTTATTAGATTAAACTGCAAATTCAACCTTGCACTGTCACTGGATTGTAATTAATTCTTTGCTTGGAGAGTAAGCACTGTGGCTCACAGGGAGAACGCTCGTTGTGTTTTCATAAGCACGTGTGGTTGAATCTTTGTTTCAGGTGCAAACATAAATCAGCCTGAACTACAGAATTGTAATTATGACATGGGAGTTTCCCTGTGAATTCCTTCCCTGCCTCCCACTCCCACACAGAAAAAGATATTTTTTTTTCAGGTCACAGAACAGAATTAGCTGAAATGGAAGCTAGATGAGTGTTTATTTTTAGAGTTCATGGGATCTACCTGGTGTAAATTTTTTGTATTCATAGTAATGAATTTGCTCCAATTTCAGTTGAGGACGCGGTCTCCACGGTATTTAAATGTGAGCTTTCCATACAGTCAAATTGACAACAACTATCAAGTCCTCGCAGCATATGTTGCATTAATTTTGATGCAGAAGGGCATTGGTGGGATGATTGGAATTCTGCAGGCTTTGTTATCCGAGTCTGTACAGCAAGATTCCTGCAGCCAACTTCCTTCATCTGCACGGCACAGTGCAATGGAGTGTCTGAGTTAGCCCCAAGTTAAACTTCTGGAGCAGGACGTAATTCCAAGGAGGGTATATTCTGCCAGGCAGGAGGACTAGACGTTAGGAAAAAAGTTTTCCCAGCAAGAGTGGTCAGAGAGTGGAACAGGCTGCCCAGGGAGGGGGCATTCCCCATCCCTGGGGGCGTTTAAGGGCCGTTTGGATGAGCTGTGGGGGATGTGGGGTAGGGGAGAACTTTGTAGAGTCGGGCTGAGGGTTGGACTCAATGATCCCGAGGGGCTTTTCCAACCTGAACAATTCTGCGGTTCTGTGATGCACTGCTAACTCAGTAGAAAAGCAAATCCTACTATTTCTATAACCTGCTGTAGTCTCTCAGTGGAGCAGCAGAGGAAAGGAACAGCAGTAAGAAAAATCCGCTTACATTACCAAATGTAATCCTTACTACTTATTTCTTCCATTTAAAAGACTCCTATATAGCTATCTTTCATCTTATTTTAGCAAAAGAAATGCATTTGGAATTATGCTTAGTCAATTAAGTTCAGCAAAGACCTCAGCAGTTGGTATTGCCATTTCTGCCTGTGAAGAATTCTAGCAAGAGCCCCATTGCTCAGACACCCACATAATGGAGCTTAGTTTCAAAATTGATGGAGGAGCTTAAAAAGCCAGAGGGATGCAGGTTCCCCAGAGCCATATTCAGATGGTTCAGCCTCCATCTAAGATGCTAAACAGTGTCCATGGAAATTGGTTGGTTTGCCTAAAAGATTCCAAAGAGCACTTGTACTGCCATAAGTGAGGAGAATGCTGCCTGCAGCCTGTCAGTAGGAAAGCCTGGCCATGGGGACCTAGGAGGAAAAGATTTTTGTTTAAATATACCAAAATACCTGCTTTCCTTTCCTCCCCATTTTCTCCCAAACATCTTGCATGAACAATTTGCTTCAGAAGTAAGACCTGCTAGTGAAAAGACAGGATTTCTACCAATTTTCTCTCTCTGACCTTTAGCAAAGGAAAAAAAGGATTTATGGATGTCTCCCAGGACAGCCAAGGTCTAAGTGTATCAGAATCAGGCAAGCCAGAAGGTTTGGAAAAGGAGTGAAAGAGCTGGCAACCTCGATTAGTGAAAAAAAAAAGAAAAAAAAAAAAGAAAAGAAAGAAAGAAAAGAAAGGAAAGAGTGAAAAAGGCTTATAGCCTGTTATCAGAGCTGCTTTTTGAATTCGATACTCTCCCAGAAAACAGAGCAGAACCACTCTGGGTCCGCAGTGAAAAAGAGAGAGTGGAGACGGAATATGTCTACATAGAAGGGTTAGGAGATAGAAGGAAAAATTTACTTTCGTACTGGTTTGCTTTCTGCATGTCTGAGGAGCCAAATGCTGCAGGAAAACCTCTGCTCCTTTCACTCGGGAGGCGCCAATGTCCACAAAACCCCATGGCTGGATTTTAATATATCGATATTTATTTAATGGGCCACAGCTGCCTTCGAAAGTCTAAATTAAACGCACATTGTTGGATCTTAACATAAAACATTACAGTGTTCTTGTTGACCAAAGCAGAATGCAGATAACTGGGTTCAAATCCAACCTCAGATCCTAATCCTAAACTAACCTTTCAGTACGGGATGGCAGAAGATGAGCGAAGGGGTGGAAGCGTGGCGTCAGACTGTATCATCAGGTATGATTTTCCCTGGCTCATTTTTGCCTGAATTACTTCAGCCATGCCCAGAGGGACGAGGTTCCTGCAGCTAGAGGGAAACTTCTACTGCACCTACCTGGCAATTGCACCCTCAGCTAGCAATAAGAAAGATGTATGTGTGTGTCCCTGAGAGAAGGACTAGCCTCACCAAGCCTCACCAAGCCTCACCAAGACTGCAAAACGATTTTTCTGGCCCATCCTGCACACCCAGATTCCTTGGGGAGAAGGGTACTGTTGTCAGACTAAAGTGTTTTCTCTTATAAAAACACATGTGGGAAAGTGTTAAACTGTGCAGCGTGGTATTTTGGTTTCCACATCCCCTGATGAAATGTTTCTTGCCTGGGGAAAACCAAACGGAAGAAAAATATCCCCTGGAAATATCTGCATAATTTACTCCCACACACCTAGTGAGAGATTTATAATTGAACAGCAGTTCCCTCAAACCATCACAACACTGTGCTCTGAATTACACTTCTGTACTCCTACCTGTAAATTATACTGTTAATTAGTTAATGGCTGTTAAGTGCTTTGGAGAAGAAAAGAGCACTCATTAAAATATCATTGTTCTGTTCTCCAGCGTGCAATGTTCCACTCTTCATTAATCTCCAACCTCTTCCTGAACCTCTCACCAGCAATTAAGTTTCATACCCTCAAATAGCAAATTAGTCTATTGTCTGACTTAGATCGACATCACTGCTCAGAAAGTGTTTCCTGAAACCTTAGCGTCGATTATCTTCTAGCCAATTTCAAGCTGGTGTCTCACATCAAATTCCTGAAAGAAAACCCTTGGTTTACGTCTTGAAAACCTCAGTCTTGGATAAACCAAAACAAGGGAAAATCTAATATATAGGATTAGATTTTTAGTCCAAGTTCAAATCCCATTGAGAAGAGAAAATGAGGGGCCAGATGTTCAGAAGAGCTTAGCATGCAGGATGCTGAGGACTTTCAAAAACCTAAAGCTCTTTTTATGGATGCTGAAACCCACTCCTGGCAGCAAGTCCTTGATGAGAGGCATTTGAAAATCTAACCCCCCCTGCCACCTGGCCAAGTCTAAGATCGATTTGCCCTTAAAATTCCTGGATGACTTCACTGAGTAGAATATCCAAGCTGAAGTTAGCAGGAGACCCGGCTGCTTTCTCTGGTTTCTACTCTTCTTCCCGAGGCTTAGCTGGCTGAATGGTGTTCCTTATTGCACTCGGGAAAGGGTGCCCACGAACAAACAAACAAACAAAAAAAAAGAAAAAAAAGCAAAATCTCTCATCCAATGGGCAACCCTGCTTTCCTGCTGGGCTCCTGATGGAGAAATCACCTCACTGCCTTTCTTAGCCTGTCTTTTTAAACATCTAGCCCTTCAAACCATCCAAGCTATCTTCCCGCAAGAAGTGCTCAGGGCTAGGAGAAGGGCTGTGACACAGCACCTTCAAAAACCACAAGCCCCACGCCCATGCATTTAGAGTGTACCTTCCTTCTCCTCCAGCTGCTTCTTTGAAGGGCTGCACTTTCTTAAAGCATCACAGATTTACGGGCCCATCAAAGAATTTCTAAGCAGCTGTTGGGACCAGGTTGGATCATCCGAGCCACACAAGGGCCTCACACACCTGCTAACCATGTCTGTCTCGTCTTCTTCCCTTCCCAGATCCTCTTGCTCCCTGTTTTCTTGGAAGTTTTGGGTTTCTCAGTCAGTGCCACCTGAGCCACGGTGACTCCTGTCCTCCCTGCCCAGGGGCCAGTTCAGGTGCTGCAGTGGTCTCTGACCATCTCCCACCACGCAGCTGTGGTAGAAGGTGGGCACCTCCTGGCTTTTGAGCTCTTCCCACTGCAGGAGCCCCTCTGCTGGCACGTCCCAGAGGAAATCGAAGTTCCCCTTCTGCTGGACCCCCTCAACACTGTTGTACAGCATGTGCTGGAAGTCCTGCCACAGCTGCTCGTGGTCTACGGGGCCAAAGAGGTTCCTCTGGGCGTGGGTTGTCTTCCCTGGCCGCTGCTCCATCTTTTCTCCTCAGTGCTGCTCTCTGGCCAGCGTATACAGCAGGGACTCCCCGCCCGGGACAGACAGATCATCATCCACCCTTCGCGCGCTCAGTTTAGTGGGCACTGCATACTCTTTAAGGGGAGCATGGCAGTAAATCTAGATACTTTTGATCCCACTACAAGAAATCTTGGTTTATTTCGAAAGAAATTTATCCTGGTCTCCAGTCCAGAGTGAGAATTCCCATCTATAAGATGTGTCTATAGAAGGATGGGAAGGGTAGAAATGTCCTCATCTCTTTTGTGCATCTTTATTTCAGTGTGCACTGAGTGAGGGTTTGCCCTAAGGGCACGAGGAAGTGGACAATGTCCCTTGAGGTAGTGCAGCAACAGACAGAAAGCATAGAAGTGGTATTTGGGGAAAACGGCTGTGTGTGTCACCTTAAACAAGGGAAAGTGCCTGAGCAGGAGAATTTCCAAGGCAACAAAAGGTGATGGCAATCAGTAAAGCACAGAAGGCGTGTTTAATTTTACAGTGAGGGTGGTATCTCTTTCCCGACTATTCATACCACTTCTGTTGCAGTGTCAGGCAAGTTAGAAGCTAAAAGATAATTATATCAGTCACCTGTTTCTTGCTTGACATTTTCATTCCCTTTTCTTGAAGCAAATGCCTGAGAAATGGTCCCAGTCATAGACAAAAAAACCACTGTCTTTCCTGCAGTGGCAAATCCCATGCAAGCACCAGTAGGTGGATTTCCCGCTTGGGAAGCTGGCATGGGGATACGGAGTGTGCACCCTCCTCTGGCAAGATGGAAAAGAGATATCAGGCATTTTGCAGATTTCATAGGCTAGAAGGGCATAAATATAGCAAATACATTCACCCACTAATTCTTGAACCAGGTCTTTAATTTCTGGAAGAGCTTGAAAATAGACTTCAAAGGTCATTCAGTTCTTTCTCTCTCTGGATCCGCAAAACTCGGCCTCTCTCACAAGCTGTGATGCGTAGCAACAGACAGGCTAAAAAGAAACCTCAGAGAAACACTGAGCAGCCAAATTTTGGATTTGTTGTGTTACTGAGTTCTGAAAGGTGTAAAGAGTTTGGGGACGGAGAAGTCAACTGGTGATTTGTTTGCAGACCATGCAGAGCCCCTGCAGAACCTCAGCCTTTAGGCTTGGTCTCCAACATCCCAAATGGTGCTTCAGACACAGCAGACACAAACCTAGATGTGACTGGTATAATCACACCCCCACACCCCCCATATTATCTTTGCAGGGTTGTAACTAATCCACCTGAACTTGGAGCGTCCCCTCGCAATCACACCCCAAGTGCCCACTCAATGTCACTCGTTGGCTCCGGTATCAAGAGCTTGTCAGCAATGGAGTGGTGTTGGCACTTAGATGCTTCTGCACACAGAAAACTCAGATATTGAGAGATGCGGCTACCTCCTCCTAGGTGGAAGCTGAGTGTCAGATCTGCAGCTGAAAACACACCTGAGCAGCGGAGGTCCAAAGAGGTGGACTGGCTCCTGCACCCATTTATAAATCTTATTCCCTGCCCTTAGTGGCTCTGAACCAGCATCCTGCCAATGCGTGGCCAACAACCACGGGAAATCAAACCAGAGTGCCAGGTCTGGGTTGCCCTTCGGGTGCATGGATTGATTTCCAAACGTTGTGTGTGGTTCTCTGGAGGCTGATATCTCCCATGGAGCTCGAGGATGGGAAACAGAGGTGCCTTGTTTGGTCGGGGACACCATCAGGGGCTGATCGTTAGGTCTGATGGGACTTCAGTGCCTGCTGGGCCCCAGCCAGGTCCCACTGGTGGTACCTCACCGCGCCGTGTGGTTACACTGGCTCGTCGGGCACAAGCCTTCGGCACTTGGCCACCAACGGGAGCAAAGCTGGCAGTTGCCCACCCGATTCTTCTCACTCCCCACAGGGCCTAGAGAAGGTGGAAAAGCACTTTTTCCTGAGGACAACGACAAGGACAATCCTCTAGGTGGCATCCAGCATCCCCAAACTTCACACAACATTTTTCCCCGTTGCCCTCGGCGGTGCCGGCTGTCACTATAGCTAGTAACAACCACACCGCTGCTGCTGCTTCATCTGGCACCAAACCCTCAGCAGTTTAAACTGAGTTTATTCAACGACAAAAGGTCTAAGGAAAGGATACGTAGTGCTTTGCAGGAATACTCCTCTGTCTTAGAAACTCTTCTTATGTGTATTGGGAACTGTTTGGTATCAGTGATTCGGGGTTAGGAAGAAAGAAGGGATTTATCAAAAACTATGGCCTTTCCTAACAGCACATCTTAATATCCCATAGGAACGAAGTAGAAAAGACTCTGCCTTGCTCCGTTAATGATTATGGCTATCCGAGCACAGCCTGTGAATCCAGTGCCTTGTCTCTAAGACTGTCTAATTCCAGGTATTTCAACGGAATATAAAAAGCCCGCAGAGAGGATAATTATAGAATAACCTTTCCCTATGGAAAGTTTCCTCCTATTGCGCTTCGTTATGTCATGAATCACAAATGCTTCTAACTCTCCTAAACTTAAATCATGTGTATATACTGCCTGCCGTCATCTCCGTTATTCACGGTCGCATCCAGGGCGAAATCCTGGTCCTACAGAAGTCAGTTCAAGTTGACCACAGCAGAACCAGGATGTGGCTCCTCGCTTTTTTTCAGGACTCTTTCCAGGTCTTGGCTGCAAAGCTGCACCATCACTATTCCCACAGCTTAGTCTGGGTTGCGTGGGTGTATTCAAACATTAAAATGAGACTGAAGTGTTTCTGAAATGCAAAAAACGTTACTGGTAGGGCCCTTTCTTTCTTAACCCGCAATTTTCTGCGTCATCTAACAACAAGCTGCGAGCCCCATTCTGTCAAGCTCATACCTATCCATACACGTGTCCCTGCTGAGCCAAGACATGCGGAAAACACGTCGAAGGCTGGAGCTCTGCACTAGCAGTGGCCACTTTTGTTTTCTCTCCAGTTCTGCACTAGCTGGAATGAGTGATAGAACAAGAAGGAATGGCTTTAAACACCAACAGGGGAGGGTCAGGCTGGACATGAGGAAAAAAGTTTTCCCAGCAAGAGTGGTCAGAGAGTGGAACAGGCTGCCCAGGGAGGGGGCAGTCCCCGTCCCTGGGGGGGTTTAAGGGCCGTTGGGATGAGCTGTGGGGGATGTGGGGTAGGGGAGAACTTTGTAGAGTTGGGCTGAGGGTTGGACTCGATGATCCCGAGGGGCTTTTCCAACCTGAATGGTTCTGTGAAATTTATGTTGAAAAGAAACACAAACTTCCCAGGTAGTTCAGTGCTTGCTTCCTGCATCAAACTTTCAGACCATCGAGGAATGTTACCTCACATTTCTGAATTTCCTATATATGTAGGAGTTCTAAAAACAGATGACAAGAAGCAAGGGAATTAACGCTGTCGATTTCATTCAGTGAAATGAATGAACAGTGAAGGTGTGTTTCCTAAATAATTTTGATACTGAAAGTCGCTAGCTGTAAATCTCATTTTCAGACACACCGCTCGCCCATGGCAGGTGCTCAGCTACTTTTAAATCATTCTTTTTTAAAACTATAGCTGAAAAAGAGGTCCCTCTGTCCCTTCGAGGTGCAGAGCAAGCCAAAGCCTTTAAACCCTTTCAAATCTTCTCTGCCTCCCCTTGGTGCTCGCTGCTCTGGTGGAAAGGAAAGGGGGGGTGTTGCAAAAAGGGGGTTTATTTGTCATAACCTTCCACACTAGACACTGAGAGCCCAGGGGCCGTTCGTGGCGGTGCTGCCCCCGTGGGGGATCAGCCCTGGGTGAGCTCACCCTGCTCTCAGCAGAGGGAGAGGCTGGGGGGGGACACGGGGCGTTGACCCCAGCAGCCGGACCCTGTGCTGGGGTCCTAGGGCTGGCATGGGGTCATTCCCCACACAGAATGGTGGCTTCGCAGGTGGACACACACACACACACACACACACACACACACACACACACTCCCTTCCACCCTTCCTTCCTCCTCCTCCCCGGGAAGTCTGGGGCCCTGGGGGAGCACCGGGCTCATGCTTGGGGGTGTAGGGGGGCACAGGTGTCCAGAGGACTGCCCCCCCGGTGGGGTACAGGTGGCACACGTAGCTGAGCAGCGTGACAGCATCCCCTCAGCTGCAAGTGGGAAGATGCTGAGAGTATTTTCCTGGGGTTTGGTGGCAGCTGGGCAGGGGCCTGTGGAGGGTCTGGGCAGGCTGAGGCACCACAGGGGTACCTGAGGTGTAGCTCCAGGGGTTGGGTGTCTGAGCCAAAGCTTGGCCGCCTGTAGATGTTGATGGTGACTCTTGGGTGTGCGTGAGGAGAGTTCATGTTCTACATCAGCAGAGGTGTGAAGAAGGTACCGCTGGGATGAATAGATCTTTGACAGTCACGGCCAGATTTGGTCACAGACGTTGATATATCAGAATCAACACTATATTTTCCTGAGTCTTAGTAACCTTTAGCATTTCTACAGAAGTGTTTTCATGTTTTAATTCCACAGTTGCTCTCAGAAGACATGTGAGGCAGATGGACTAATCCCTTTGTGGGAAGGTAAGTGTATTATTTACTCAATTTTTCAGGTTGTGGGATACAGGCAGAAGCAGCAGGGGTTTTGTTAGCGTTGGGGGAGCTCCATCTTCGGAGTTCCCATTTCTGAATTTGAAAGGCCTGCTTGTTTTTATCCTTCTGCCTTTCCATACTGTTGTTCAATAGCAGGAAGAGAAGGAAGAACTGGAGAAAGGATACAGTTTTCATCAGTTTATTCACAAATCAGGCAGGAAAATATCATTAATAATCAGAAAGGTGAAGGTTTGGGCTGACAAAGGGATGAAAATATTAATCCTAGGAGAACATGACTTGTTAAATTCAGGCAGCAGGGCTTTTCTCCTCATCTTCCTCCACCCCCAAGGGTGTAAGATTTTCACAGTACTTTCATGTTCCACCCCTGAGCATTACCCCTGTAAACCAATGCCAAAACTCTGCTGTATATCTTCCTCTTCAAAAGAACCTTTAAACTCTTGTGGGGAAAACTGGACACAGCATTTTGCATTTCTATGTGGACTGTGACCGTCCCCAGGGCAGGAGAGCTCTTGCAGCCCAACCCAGGAGGCAGAAGGGGGACAGTGTTGAGCCTTTTCCATCAGAGGAGCCCACAGATTTTTTCAGCTTCCATATAACCCACCCTCAAACCCCTCATAGCATCCTTACGTGCTGCCCTGTGTGCTGTTGACACACACCCAAACCCACCGACAGTAAACCGTTGTGCCCCAACACAGGGAAAAACTCCTCTGGGCTGATGAAGAGGGAGGTCGAGCATCAGGGGGCCAGTGGAGGGCTGAAATCCCCCCCTCAGCCCTCCCACTCGTGGAAGGGAATGGGAAGACCCTTTTTACTCCATTTTCACTGCAGGGGCTACAGTATTTCAGTGTCAAGGCTGAAGAAGGAGAGCTTTCTTTTTTTAAAGGTTTCATGTCAATTTTGGATGTTAAGAAAACCCTTCTTTATCTACGTTGTTACCTCTTGCAAAGTGTTTTTGGGTTGCCCTTCATCTTTTAAGAATGCCTCATTGAAATGCTGGGGTTTCAACCCCAAGCCCCAAGTTAAGGCTGACATGTGGGTGATTCCCACAGCCCTTCCCAAAGGGGGGTGAGTTTCCCTTTAGGCTTCCCCCCAGGGTGGGGCCGGCCTGGCAGACAGAGCCATTGGGTAAATGAGCCCCAGGTGTCTGCAGTGAGTAACCCAAGGTCAGGGGTCCCACGCAGGGATAAAAGCTGGGACCCCTTGCAGGCAGGGGCAGTGTCTGTGTGTGAGGTGGGTGTCCTGTGCAGAGTTCCCTGCTGGGGAAGGACCTCCTGCCTCCCTGGGACTGGGCTCCAGTCAGGTCTGGCTTTTGTAAACTGGGCTGTGTAGAGATTGAGTGTGTGGGTTCCTTGGTCTGATGTGTTTGGCTTGTTGGCTGGGTTGTCTCCCGTCCCTTCTATGGGAGACTGCATGTCACCGTTTATCCCACCCATTGTTGGTTGTGTGGTGTTGTTGTTGGGGTCAGTGGGATTGATGTCAATTATGTATAATCTGCTTGTCTTGTTTGTACCCCCAGTGCTCACCCATGTACTGACCCTTTTGTGTCAAATACAGTTTGGTTATTAGTTCTTCTTTATGCTAGACCTAATAATTGGCAGAACACCCATGTTTTAAGTAACTTTCTTGAGATTGTTCCTTTTGTCAAATCACAAATTATGAAACCGTGTGTTTTACTGACAACATTTGGTTTTATTGTAGTTTAGGTAGAGTAATTTCCTGTGGTAGTAGCAATGCCATTTATGTTAGGGCTCAGTTTGTTTCACAGAAAATTGAATTCTTTGGGAATGGAATTCTGGTTCTTCTTACTGCATTTTTTGGTGGGGGGGAGCTCAAATTAATAATATAATTTCTGCCATAGCTGCGTGTAATCATGTGCCTTATTTTAGGCATGTGGATATATTTGTGCCAAATGCTGTGATTCATCTTTTTAGCCCTTTCCAATCACGACCTGAGGTTTCATAAGATTATAAAGGCAATTCATGTTTAAGCACCACCTCATCCTCAAGGTTCTGTTTTTGGTTTGCAAGTGTGCTTTTTACAGTGGATTACTCCCAAAGGATTATTCTCTGAGTTAGGTTTGCCATCCATTCTGAATTTCTGAGATCACTCATGCTTTGAAGTCTCTCACTCTCAACTTGATAGACAGCAACTGCCCTGAGAGCAGGAGAGGACAACGGGATGATGCGAGGGCTTGCAGCAGGAAGAAGGCCATATCTATGTGTCTCTCTTCCAGTGTTGTGTGGGCTGCATCCCCCCATCCTTTGATCCATTGGGATCAGCACTTTGAGAGGTAATGCTGCCTTTATAGTTCTAGATGGGAAAAGTAGGTTAAGAATGGCAGGAGCGCCGACACAGTAGATCTTTACAGAGATTTTTTTTCTCACTTGTGGCTGTGTGGAGTCTTGCAACTTCCTATTTTGGTGCATACAAATAAGAATCCTGGAGCACAGGTCTGCTGGGGAGTGGCTG